ACAAAGCCGAAATCAACAGTCAGAACTCACATTAACTATTGTCCAAACCTGCAAGAACAACAAAATAATCATTTTTATTATCTTTGGCAAAATATATGCGAAAACAAATGTTGTTGGTAATTATTTGAAATTTCGTAAGTTTATTTTGATATTATTATTTATTTCTACTCTTTTGGGTTAATTTGTGGTTTACCAAAAGTGTAAAAGTTTTTCGGTTGTCCTTTTTACTTTTATTGTTTTGGGGTTTTAATTTAAAAAAATTTTTTTGTTTTTTCTTTTAAAATAAATTGTAAATTATTTTGAGGTTTTAAAATTGTTCATATTTTTTAAGTTTTGAAATAAAATTAAAATCATAAGTATGAAGACTTCATTTTAAATTATTTTAAAATTACTTTAATAATTTCCAATTTTATTCCGTTAAATTACTCTGGTATGATCTTCTGGAGCATTATTTCCTACTTCCTCTGTATTTTGTAAGACCAAAAGGTCCCAGATAGCCGTTTCTTAGAGATCTATAGCTAAGCTTACGCTTTTAACAAACAAACAGAAAGAAAGAGTGTTATATTCGGCCATGCCGAATCTTATATACCCACCATCAAATCATCCTCATGAATAAACTTTGATATTATCGAAGCAATTTTCTCATTTATTAGATCTATGTTAAATTTTATCATCATATGTCGATATTAATATGAACATCTAGGAAATATTTCGAAGAGGGCCTTTAATTAGAGCTTAAGCATGGACCGTGCTCTTCCGAATTAAAAATATTAATTTTTTTGATCCAATATTTATAACCATATACTGTTTTTTGTAAAAGTGGTTATATGGAGGTTAGAGATAATTGTGTACCTATCCTCGTCGGTTTATACAATAACTATTTGTATCGAATTTCATCGCTGTACTCGTATCTTTAATTCAGTAATGAGGTTTAAAGTAATTTTCTGAAGGAATAGGAAGGAAAATAGGGATCTGATCTGTTATCGACCGATCCCCATCAAATTCAGTTGAAAAATTCCCGTTCCTATAAAACTACCGTAATTTGGAAGAATTTTGAGCCATAGATGAGCGTTAAAGTCATTTTCTGGAGTGAATCTTTTATAAGGATCAATTAAAGCTCGATCTTTATAAACTTTTGTACATATATTATGTTTCGTAAAGAAGTTGTTTATTCGAATCTCATCACCTAAGTCGTACTTTTAAGCAACTAATGGGAGTTGAAGTAATTTTACTGAATTGGTCATTTATTGATCCATCTTTATCAAAGTCGATCAAAGAATTTCATATATCTACTCGTATTTTAATGCCAGTAATGAGCGTTAAAGGCGCCCTTATACTAGGGGGTGGAGTCAATTATGAACCAATACTCCTAAGAATTAGAACGATTTTTGTTCATACAAATATTGTTTATGTTGCATTTTGGAGCCAGTAATGAGCATTAAAGTCATTTTCTAATGGGGACCTTAATAGGGAGCATTCGGTAGGGGCTCATAAAAAACTTGTTTATGTGAAATTTCATCGCTGTAGTCGTATTTGAGCGTTACAGCCGGTAATGAGCTTTACAGTCATTTTCTGGGGGGGTCCTTATATGGAGGGTGGGGTCAATTATAAACCGATCACCAAAATATTTGATAGAGTTTGTGGCTAACACAAAACTTATTTATGTAGAATTTCACTGCTGTAATCGCACTTTCGAGTCAGCAATGAGCGTTAAAGACATTTTCAGAAGGGGATCTTAGGAGGGGGGGGGGTGTAGGTTTAATTATAGACTGATCCTCATAAAATTTACTAGAGAGGTTTTGGCTCATACAAAACTTATTTATGTTAAATTTCATTTTCTGAAGGAGACCTTTTATGGGTGATAGGGTTAATTAAGGACCGATCCTTTTAAAATTTGATAAATAGGTTTTGGCTCGCACAAAACTTATTAAAGTAGAATTTTACCGATGTACTCGCATTTTAGAGTCAGTAATGAGCTTTAAATTCATTTTCTGAAGGGGACCTTACATATATGGAAGGTAGGGTCAATTATGGACCCATTCTCATAAAATTTAAGAAAATAGTTTTAGTTCCTATAAAACTTGTTTGAGTCGAATATTATTGCTATATATACTTCTTAAGGTCAGATATAGGCATTAAAGTAATTGTCTAAAGGGGACCTTATATGGAGGTTAGGGTCAATTATGGACAGATCCTTATAAAATTTTATGAAGAGATTTAAGTTCCTATAAAATATGTTCCTGTCGAATTTCAACGATATAGATGTTTCTTTTAGACAGTTATCAGCGTTAATGTTATTTTCTGAAGGAGACTTTATATGGGGGGTTGGGTCAATTATGGACCTATCCGTATAAAATTTAACAAAGAAGCTATTGATGCTTCTTTTAGCCAGTTATGAGCGATAAAGTAATTTTCTGAAGGGGGCCTTATATGGGGGACGGACAGACGGAAGGACGGACTGACATGGCTAGATCGTCTTAGAATCTAATAAGGATCCAGAATATATATACTTTTATGGGTCTTAGACGAATATTTCAATGTGTTACAAACGGAATGACTAAATCAATACACCCCCATCTTTTTTGATGACGGGTATAAAAACGTGTTTGTATTACGTATACGTAATGAATAAATATGGACAATTGTCAATATTGCTCATTCGCCACGTACAAACATTATTTTAGTATGTTGTGGTATTTTGGCATTAATGATGGTTTTAGCGGAATTTTGCTGCAACGGCATTTGAAAAAATTTTTACAAATGGAAAAAAGAAAGTAAGACAATCTTGTCGTATCTAAATGGACTTCTTTTTCTTTCCATACAGAGCTTCCACAATGTTTTAAAATAAATATCGAAGGAGCAACCCTCAACGTCGAAACTATTGTATTTTGTGCCATATACGGGAAGTTTTAATGTAAATTAATTAATTAAAAGTTCAGCTGAAACACTTCGATTACTTACCGGACCTTATGCAAGAGCAAGAGATGTGTATCATCCAAAAGCTAGGAAATTGGGTACCATATGTATGAAAGTAGATATACCTTGAAATATTCTGCTTGTACGCTATAAACGAAAATAATTTAAGGCAAAAATGGATTAATTTTTTTTATAATCCAAAGCATAAGAGATCCTATATGATGTCTGGTCACTCAGATAAAACTGAACATCAATGGAATGAAAGCGTAATATTCCATCATGACAACGCTCGGGCACATGTTGCAATACTTGTTAAAAACTTTTTAAAATAAGTTAATGGGGGAAGTTTGGCTCAGACGACATAGATTCCAGATCTTGCCCCATCCAACTGCAGTTTATTTCGAACGATGCAGAGCTCTCTCACTCAATTAGCTTTTGTTTGTGCTATTTCGAAACCTTTCCAATGAGTTGAGTTTTGCTTGAATGACCTAAATCGGTCTTTGCATTACTTGTCTACATTGATCCATTAGATACAATAAAAGTAAAATCATTATCATTATAAACTGTATATGCTAAAACGAATAAATCGAAATAGATCTAAGTTCGTAGGAAAATTACACTGCAATCAATATAATTTTTCTATATTATATTTCATTTTAAAGAATTACACCCATAAAAACAGCCGTTTATTTAAATTAAACATTCATTAAATGCAGATAAATGTATAAAATGTAAATACCAGGAAAAACCAAATTCACTGACCATATATTTTATTCGCATTACCAGGCTTTAGTATCAAATTTAAAAACCTCATTTGAATTTGTTTTGGTTTTTAATTTCCTCATTTAAAATTTAATATTTCGAGTCGGCTTAATTGTATGTGTTTGTGTATGAGTGTTTTTAAATCGTTGTAAATGTGGAGGTGATTATTTGGAAAAATAGGAAAGGGTCTAGTTCATAAACAAAGTTGTTGTTAAAAATTTCATACTCTTATATACAGAAAATTTTATCGACTTTCATTGTTGTATTATTTATTCTGGTTTATTTGTTTTTTTTTTTATCCATTTTTGTCTAACTTTTATTTTTTTGTGTAAAAAAAGAATGCCTAGGAGACATAATAAAGTACAATACATCTCTTTTCATTCATTTGGTATGATTTTTTGGTTTTAAAAACAGAAAATATTATTGAAATTCTTTGCTCTATAACACAAAATCAACAATAATATGAAAAGCAAAAAAAAAAAAAAAAAATAGAAAATAGAAAATATTTAACAAACAAACCCGAAATATTTGTAAAAAACAATCTAATATTTTCTTTTTGATAAATTGTTTTCTATTGCACAACTATAGCAATAATAGTAGGAAAAAAAACAACAAACTGAATTCAGTCAAAGGGTCAATAAAACATTGCTAAACTAGTAATTTGAGATTTAATTGAAAACCAGATATAGCAATAACATTTCTTTGATTTGTCAATTCTGGCAACATGGTTGTAGAGTTACAAAATATAGTAAAAGTGCTATAAATAAAACTAATTGACTTTTGCTATTGAAATAGAAAAATAAGCATAAACAATGTAAAATTGCAACAAACCCCTTTTACTATGACATTTAACACCAGAAACACTTGAATATTGTATAGAATGTTTTCATTCTTGTATAACGAAAGGGGGGGATGAAGGACAAAAAAATTCCATTATCTTTTCTTAGTGATTTCTATGACAGTTGGTTTTACATTGAAATTGGGGGAATTATTTACTGGGGAAAATTCTTTTTCTATGCAAAAAGTAAACGATTTTGCTGTGTTGTTCAGTTAAATAATTGAAAAGTGATTGTTGGTATTTAATTTATTTTATTGCATACAAACACATTTAGTTCAGATACAAAAATGTTTTAACATTGATTACCTTGACAAAAGTCTTTACGAGGAATTTTTATTAATTAACAAAAATGGACAGGTCCTTTGAGTTGTAAAAAGCTAAGTGTGACCATGTATAAGAAATCTTTCAAGCTGTAATATATAAATTTCTTTTCATTATTTTCTTTCAGTATTTTAATATAATATTTTTTTTAATCTATTTCCAGGTATGTTGATAAAAATTTATACTGAATGGTTTTTGTAAGTTTAGAACGTTTTTATATTTAAATGTTTATAAAAAAGTTTACATCAGTTACACTTATAGACTAAAGCCATAGAATAAAATATGGAGTCTATATTATAGACTATACTATAGAGCTGGGTATAGAATAGACAATAAACCAGACTGTAGTCTAGTCTATAGTCTAGTTTATAGTCTAGTGTATAGTCTAGTTTATAGTCTAGTCTATAGTCTAGTTATAGTCTAGTCTATAGTCTAGTCTATAGTCTAGTCTATAGTCTAGTCTATAGTCTAGTCTATAGTCTAGTCTATAGTCTAGTCTATAGTCTAGTCTATAGTCTAGTCTATAGTCTAGTCTATAGTCTAGTCTATAGTCTAGTCTATAGTCTAGTCTAGTAGTCTAGTCTATAGTCTAGTCTATAGTCTAGTCTATAGTCTAGTCTATAGTCTAGTCTATATAGTCTAGTCTATAGTCTAGTCTATAGTCTAGTCTATAGTCTAGTCTATAGTCTAGTCTATAGTCTAGTCTATAGTCTAGTCTATAGTCTAGTCTATAGTCTAGTCTATAGTCTAGTCTATAGTCTAGTCTATAGTCTAGTCTATAGTCTAGTCTATAGTCTAGTCTATAGTCTAGTCTATAGTCTAGTCTATAGTCTAGTCTATAGTCTAGTCTATAGTCTAGTCTATAGTCTAGTCCAGCGGTTCCCACCGATTTTTACTTCGCGGACCCCTTGAAGAACTTATTTAATTTCGCGGACCCCCATACATATTTTGATATCTTATTGTTCTAAATAATTGTCCATCCGAAAATTGACCTAGTCCATTAATCCCTAGGTCTAATAAAATGTAGAGATGTCATATCTATAAAATATTCCCGTACATTGAGAATATATAATATTTCAAATAGGTTTTCAATTGCATGTTTTGAAGATAGAATGACTTCATTGTTGATATGTTAACATGATGTTTAATTTTATGATCGTGAGATCTTTCATATTCATTTTTCTTCAAGGTAGCGAAAAGGTTTCTTTATCAAATATTGTCACATGTGCTTAAGGAGTCACGTTTCAAAAATTTGTTGCGATTGCAAAGGGTGAACTGAGTAAGTGAGCTAAGTTTTCGGGAAAATAATATAAGCAAGTTGGACTTCTTCTATGTTGTTGCGGAATGCGTTATCCGCATAATATATGATTTGAACTCTTTGTTAAAGTACTGTGAATTTGGAACTTAAATTTGAATTTTAAAATACCAACGAATTATTTTACTTCATGGTTTTTGGCTACATATTTACGCGAAACGCTATGGATTTTCTGATGTTAATTTAATAATATGTATTGGTCGACAAAATTAAGTTAAAATCTGTGTATCACGTCGGATCGGAATATTTATAAAAAGATGCATAAAGAGTCACCTCTGTTTTGAAAATATATAATTTTAGTCCTTTCAAACAAGAACACCTTTGCTTACAATTTGATAAACTTAAATCTGTAACAAGTAAGAAATTATAGTCGGGCGAGGCCGACCATATAATACCCTACACCTTTGACATTTAGTTGCCATAATAAAGCATTTAAGTTGAATTGTTCCTTGCCTTAGATATACATACTTAAGCTGTTTAATGTTGAATAAAATTGTGGACATTTAGGTGAAATTTTGATGGGGGCTTTTCATAGGGGCTAGGGTCATATAAGAACCTATTATTACGGAATTTTTGGGGGTCATCAAGTCTTGTAAGTTGTATACAAGTTATTTTAGCTTTAGGTTATTGCAGCTTATTGTCGAGATATGAGTATATTAAACATAATTATGAACTTAAAAGCATATTCGGCGGGTTTACTTGTATGGGGGCTAGGTGAAATAATGGACCAATGTAAACCATTTTCAACAGGCTTCATCTACGGTACCATAAAAGATCATGAGCCAAATTTCATTGAATTATCTCCAAAATTGCGACCTTTGGTTTGATTACAAGTTTTAAAAGCCCTATTCGGGGGTTCAGTTGTATGGGGGCTAGGTGAAATAATGGACCGATTATAACCATTTTCAATAGGCTTCGTCTACGGTACCATAAAAGATCATGAGCCAAATTTCATTGAATTATCTCCAAAATTGCGACCTGTGGTTTGATTACAAATTTTAAAAGCCCTATTCGGAGGTTCAGTTGTATGGGGGCTAGGTGAAATGATGGACCGATGGTAACCATTTTCAATAGGCTCCGTCTGCGATACCATAAAAGATCATGTGCCAAATTTCATTGAATTATCTCAAAAATTGCGACCTGTAGTTTGATTACAAGTTTTAAAAGCCCTATTCGAGGGGTTCAGTTGTATGGGGGCTAGGTGAAATAATGTACCGATGTTAACCATTTTCAATAAGCTTCATCTATGATACCATAAAAGATCATGTGCCAAATTTCATTGAATTATCTCCAAAATTGCGACCTGTAGTTTGATTACAAGTTTTAAAAGCCCTATTCGAGGGGTTCAGTTGTATGGGGGCTAGGTGAAATGATGGACCGATGGTAACCATTTTCAATAGGCTTCGTCTACGATACCATAAAAGATCATGTGCCAAATTTCATTGAATTATCTCCAAAATTGCGACCTGTAGTTTGATTACAAATTTTAAAAAGCCCTATTCGGGGGTTCAGTTGTATGGGGGCTAGGTGAAATAATGGACCGATGGTAACCATTTTCAATAGGCTCCGTCTGCGATACCATAAAAGATCATGTGCCAAATTTCATTGAATTATCTCAAAAATTGCGACCTGTAGTTTGATTACAAGTTTTAAAAGCCCTATTCGAGGGGTTCAGTTGTATGGGGGCTAGGTGAAATAATGTACCGATGTTAACCATTTTCAATAAGCTTCATCTATGATACCATAAAAGATCATGTGCCAAATTTCATTGAATTATCTCCAAAATTGCGACCTGTAGTTTGATTACAAGTTTTAAAAGCCCTATTCGAGGGGTTCAGTTGTATGGGGGCTAGGTGAAATGATGGACCGATGGTAACCATTTTCAATAGGCTTCGTCTACGATACCATAAAAGATCATGTGCCAAATTTCATTGAATTATCTCCAAAATTGCGACCTGTAGTTTGATTACAAATTTTAAAAAGCCCTATTCGGGGGTTCAGTTGTATGGGGGCTAGGTGAAATAATGGACCGATGTTAACCATTTTCAATAAGCTTCATCTATGATACCATGAAAGATTATGTGCCAAATTTCATTGAATTATCTCCAAAATTGCGACCTGTAGTTTGATTACAAGTTTTAAAAGCCCTATTCGAGGTGTTCAGTTATATGGGGGCTAGGTGAAATAATGGACCGATGTTAACCATTTTCAATAGGCTTCGTCCCTGGGACAATAGAAGATAATGTACCAAATTTCATTGAATTATCTTCAAAATTGCGACCTGTAGTTTGATTACAAGGTTTACATGGACGGACGGACGGACGGACAGACGGACAGACGGACGGACACAGCTAAATCGACTCAGAAAATGATTCTGAGCAGACTGGTATACTTTAAGGTGGGTATAGGACCAATATTATTGTGCGTTACAAACATCAGCACAAACCCAATATACCCTCCCCACTAAAGTGGTGTAGGGTATAATAAGCTTGTCTTTGAATTGAACTTCATACTCCGGAATACCAGTATCCCTAATTTAATTGTAAGGCAGAGTATTATTTGTCTGAAATAAAAACCATTATTTCAGTACATATACAGGAAATAAAAATTACAAATCACGCAATACTTTACTTTATAAAAGTTATACAATAAATTTGTAGGCCCTAGCTTCTTCCTGTTAAACAACCGAAAAAATAAAATTCAAAAAGTCACCAAAAAATTTGGGATTATTGCACAAAAATTGGAGATATTTGTACATACATATAAAAGAATATTGTTTATTCATGTTTTTTTCGTTCGTCTTCGCGGACCCCCTAGGATTTTACTAGGGGTCCGCGGACCCCCATTTGGGAAACGTTGGTCTAGTCTATAGTCTAGTCTATAGTCTAGTCTATAGTCTAGTCTATAGTCTAGTCTATAGTCTAGTCTATAGTCTAGTCTATAGTCTAGTCTATAATCTAGTCTATAGTCTAGTCTATAGTCTTCTATAGTCTAGTCTATAGTCTAGTCTATAATCTAGTCTATAGTCTAGTCTATAGTCTAGTTTATAGTCTAGTCTATAGTCTAGTCTATAGTCTAGTCTATAGTCTAGTCTATAGTCTAGTCTATAGTCTAGTCTATAGTCTAGTCTATAGTCTAGTCTATAGTCTAGTCTATAGTCTAGTCTATAGTCTAGTCTATAGTCTAGTCTATAGTCTATCCTATAGTCTAGTCTATAGTCTTGTCTATAGTCTAGTCTATAGTCTAGTCTATAGTCTAGTCTATAGTCTAGTCTATAGTCTAGTCTATAGTCTAGTCTATAGTCTAGTCTATAGTCTAGTCTTTAGTCTAGTCTATAGTCTAGTCTACAGTCTAGTCTACAGTCTAGTCTAGTCTATACTCTAGTCTACATTCTAGTCTATAGTGTAGTCTATAGTGTAGTCTATAGTCTAGTCTATAGTCTAGTCTATAGTCTAGTCTATAGTCTAGTCTATAGTCTAGTCTATACTCTATTCTAGTCTAGTCTATAGTCTAGTCTATAGTCTAGTCTATAGTCTAGTCTATAGTCTAGTCTATAGTCTAGTCTATAGTCTAGTCTATAGTCTAGTCTATAGTCTAGTCTATAGTCTAGTCTATAGTCTAGTCTATAGTGTAGTCTATAGTCTAGTCTATAGTCTAGTCTATAGTCTAGTCTATAGTCTAGTCTATAGTCTAGTCTATAGTCTAGTCTATAGTCTAGTCTAGTCTATAGTCTAGTCTATAGTCTAGTCTATAGTCTAGTCTATAGTCTAGTCTATAGTCTAGTCTATAGTCTAGTCTATAGTCTAGTCTAGTCTAGTCTATAGTCTAGTCTATAGTCTAGTCTATAGTCTAGTCTATAGTCTAGTCTATAGTCTAGTCTATAGTCTAGTCTATAGTCTAGTCTATAGTCTAGTCTAAAGTCTAGTCTAAAGTCTAGTCTATAGTCTATCCTATAGTCT